ACCAAACGTCACCTAAGTTTCAAAGGAAAGGGCAAAAGTTCTTTGAATACACAAATATATAGTCAAGTACAATCTCGATTCGTCTATGTATAACGTATATATATAATGATATAGTAATTTGTTATGCCATTGAACTATTATGCATTCAAATTTCATACTAACAACGACAAACGAAAAGCGGCAAGAATTATTTAAACGAATTACAGACATTTATAAAATTCAAGCAATAACGATTACAAGGTAATAAAACAAATTTAGATTCCCACAATAAATTACTTCTTCATGAAGCAATATCATTTCGTAAGGCAATTAATAAGTACATAACAGTCCAATCAACATGTTTTACTCAAAAAATATTATAATATCCAACACTAGCTGGAGCAAAATTGAAAAACCTTCACATACACAATACGCTTGAATTTCATAAACATAACATTTTTAGTGAACGGCAGGGTAGCAGGCACACCAAAGAGTTTGCCTTTTAGTATGAAACAGTATTTTTTTTTAATAATAATAAAGAAATCTCTGAGTTTATATGTATCACGAGAATCACAAGTGTATTTATTAGCTTCAATTTCCTACCCGTTTATATTTTTTTAATTGCCGTTGCTTTAAGCGTCATGTTAGCAGCCAAACCAATAATCAGAAATATCTCGAATTCTATTGAAGTGAATGAAATGAAGTCACTAATTAGTCACAAAATTTTGACATGTAATTCAAACTAATACGAAGCGTATTTCTAGTGTGCCTGCTGACTAGATGTCTAGTTAGCAGGCACAATAAGATCTTTTTGATTTACAATGTCACAAATTATATGCTATCGATCACTATTTGTCACTATTTACTCACGATTAATTGATATACATAAGACCCTCAAACTCGTTGGTGTGCCTGCTACCATGTCGTTCACCATTTTTAAACATTGTCAAGTGAGCAACTAACAAAATTATATTAAATAATGTAATGAAATCGTTGGTAACTTTAATTGTTGTTTTACCTATATACTCTATTAAATATGTAAAAAATTGTGATAAAAAAAGTTTAACCATAAAATCAAGAATGGATATTAACTCTTATTAAATAGAAACTGGTAAACAACTCGCGATAAATACAGGCACCGTACAGCAATGGCTAAGAATTACTTTCATCACAAACTAGCAAATAACTTCCCTCTCGACTCTCACGTTGTCGAGTTCGAAGCCGATTCTAATGCCAAACTAAACTCGCTACAATAGCAACAATGAGCGACGCGTACCAAAATTACTGCACGAGCACATTCGGCAAATCTTTTGCTATAAAGAATGCAAAAAAAAGGATCAGACATCAACTGCATATCTAATTTGAACGCAAAACGATATATAAAAAAAAATAAGCTTAGAGTTCTCAAAGTTGCTTTCTTTATTTCAATGGCATTATAGACCAACAACTCAAACACTCACTCAACAATGTCAATAAACATATAATTAAGTGAATTAATAATAATATCAATAAACATTTTATTACAATTAAAACTGTACCATACTACAATCTATCTAGGACCTATGATAATTATGACTTCTTAAATAAAACTTGTATATCTGGTATTAAAATAAATATTTCTAACATTATGTAAATCGATATCACCTTAAATATTGCCCACACTTAGTTGTATGAATTAGCTATCATTAGCAACATAATATACATAATAATTATTGAATTCCTTACCCTATACCTTACACAAGACAAAACACTACAATATTCGTTAAAGCAACGCTAACATACTACATTCTGGGAATGTCGTTTTTATAAAATATGGCTAAATAGGTATATACATCGAATTATAAAAAATACGTTATAATTAATGTTTGAGAATAGTAATAAATAATATAAGTTGACATAAAATACCTACAATTTAAAAACAAACGTTATATAGTAAGAGATTCTTTCTTTGGAAGTCTATCAAGTCTTGCTATTTATAAATAATTTTTATAACGACTGACCACAGGATTAGTTTATCTATAAAATCCATCCAAACACTCCATCCGCACACCAATAAAGATCGTGTGAAAAATATATTAGAGCACACCATTATAACTCTACGCCATTTTCAAAGCCTGACTAGAAAAATAAAGTACAAAAAACATTATGTAAGAAGTATTAACAATTTGAAACCGATCATTGAATTAATCAATTAATTCATAAAGCGTCTACCCGTCACTGCAAAGTCTATCACTACTACTCGACATCTTTGAAATACTAAGATGGTTAAAACCATGGCCGTAAAAAATTATCAAACTTAAATATAATTTTATTTATATCAACGATTCCCAAGTTATTTTGGATCACAGACCCGTTTCTAAAATAAAACCTCCATACTCCATACTCCTCCATACTCAAACTTTAGTATTTCCTATTAATTAAAAATTTTACCAATTTAAAAACTGTGTGTAATGAGTAAACAAATCATAATTCTTTTATTAAAATACTAAATAAATAGACATGAATTTGTATATTATATATATACATACTGTATATTGAAAGTTTCAAATAAGAGCTTGTGTTTATAGTATAATATGGTCTATTTGAGACCTCTCAAAGTCAATTATCGTTTAAGGCATCGGCCCCTGGGAAACTAATTTCAACCACTTTAGGAATCTCTGATATCTGTTTTATCTCGATCATTGCGGACAACACTGTACGTTATATTTTTCTCTCAGGCTTTAATAACGAAATATTTAATTGTCGAAAAAGATCCTTAAAAAAAAAACTTTATATACAAACCAATTTGTTAGCGCCGGCCAAAAATCATTCCATGGGGACTAAAATGTATTAGCGCGTTTTAAGGTAAACCGTGATTTAAATAAAATTTGCGTATTCAGATATAGTGATCATATCAAAGTCAAAGTCAAAATCAAAATCAAAGTCTTATTCTAATTTACAATATTTATAAAAAAACGTCGCGTCAATATAAAAATAATGACTAATGAGGAAGTATTTAAAAAACATATTAGTTCCCGAAATCAAACTAGATGTCGCTACGGTACTTTATTGATTTTCCATGACCTTTCTGGTTTTTTTTTATGTATAAAAGTAAATTAATTTTCAAAACTCAATAAACAACTCATATTTGCACTTTTTCGTATTTGTATTGATATCTAAGTTTCGATCTTTGCAAATTTCAGTTTTTTAATATGTTAGTAAAAAGGAACCTAAATGACTATCTTTGGTCCATTCGTTTCCTGCAAAAATCTACTTTTGCTAGAGTCGCCATCTAGTGAGGTGCTTTTTAGTGCTTTCTTTTTTTTAAATACTTCCCCATTATATTTATAGGTATGAAGTTATCCGATAATATGTACGCGTTGATGATATCAAGAAACGATTCGTCTTAATGCAACATTTTATTTGGTTTGATATGGTATCCGATATTATTGAATAATCACTAGATTATGTTAAAAATTCAAGTTTCATTGTTGAAGCGTAATAACCTAAAACAAGTAATAATAAATGTATATTATCATAGAAATTAAAATTGTCAGCAAATAATAAAACGACTTTGTCATATTATCGATTTCAAAAATTCAGTTAGATATATAACGTTGATAGAAAACTGAAGCAATTCAATCGGCTAATTACTTACAAATTAATTTTTAATTAAGGGCTAAAAGTATAACGCCCTAAGGCGCATAAAATTTTTCTCTAACGCCTGTGCAAGCATTAAAGAATAAAACTTTTATTTTTTCTAATATCCTACTGTTATGTATAGACAATGTCTTTAACGAGCAACACGAGCGAACACCGCATATTTTAAATAGTAAAATAAATAAATTTGAAAAAAAAAAACTCCATGACTACACATTGTATTTTACGTAAGTAATGAGGTTTTATTAGAGAGCTTACAAGACAAGGCATTATACTACTGTTCAGATAATGTAAGAATCAAGTCATGTATTATACATTTAATATCAAAGGTTTATCACAACCAACACAGATAACAATGAGGAGTTCTATCAGCTGTCAGCTGTCAACCGTCAACCGATCACCACTAACGAAATTTATATAGATATATTTTAAAGAAAAAAAATCGAATCAAGAAAATATCGATTTTTTTTTTCCTTTTCTCTGACCGAAGGATTTATTTCCCTATCAACAGTATATAGTGGACCGATCAAGATCTGCATGGATAGATCACGATCACTATTTGGCTGATCATTAAATAATATGGCCAAAATAAATTTAGAAAAATCTATGAAGGTAACGTATTTGTTGATTTGATTAACCCAGTTACTAGGCCAAGTCGAGAAATATTTGGGCACATCGTATTTGTATCCATGTTATTTAAATCGAAAATGGTCAATAACATAATTGGGAAAATCAATTCTATAGGGTGACTATACATTAAAAAAAAACTTTTTTTTTACTAATAATATTCTTTCAGATAATAACATTCTTGTTAATTAAAATTAAATCATAAAGGAATTGGTGAGAAATATTCTGAACTGTTTGTATTCTTTTGGGGATATATAAATTTCATTAACGGTGACGAAAAGACACACCTATTGCCTATTTAGATGCTTTTCAGCGCATTTTAGATCCTAGTAACAATTTTGGCTAGATACATCCTTGTACACACATATTTCCAATATTTTGAATACATGCTATCGTATTGTAGAAATAAGATGCAAAATGTAACAAAATTAATTTATAAACAGAGTTAAGTCTTCGTTAGTGTCGCAGAAATTAGCTTTTTATCGAGTAAGTGGCGCATAATAGTAAAAATATTTGAAAAAAATGTTAAAAATACTTTCACGTAAACCTTAGCAATATATTGAGTATACTTCACTATAGTTTTTTATACTCATAAACACGTTGTATAGTTTTAAAAGCGCCCAAAACCACACTAGTATTGTAAATTTACATGAATGTGTAAGTACTTAAAATATAATACCGTGTTGAGCGTCGGTGCGACTTCATGCGACTTCATTCGCGACTTCATCGGCGTATATCGGAGATGTTGTCGCGGGTTATAGCGGATGCGTGGCCGTTTCACCGGGCAAGGCGTGCACACGCGCAGATAACAAGTTGTGCAATATAAACACCGCTGGTTTCGGACTACCTTCCATATCCAATTCCTAAAAAGAAAAAAAAATTTGTACTCAATGGTATACTCTATGTATACTAAATTGCGGTTCAAAATTGCCTGCGAAAGGAGTCCACTGTTACCTTCTCAATATTATTTATTCCTAACGAAACTCTCCTAGTTATAAATAAATGTTTGTTATCCACAATCACACTAAACAGACGGAGTTAAGTTTTTAAACAGCGCACAATAGAAAATCAGACTTCTTTCGAAAAATCAACAGAATAGGGAATATGCATCTAATTCAAAATAGTTCATTTTCGTCTTGAAAATAATTTTTTAAAAGTGCAAAATAAATGCGCAAGCTTCAAAATATTTAAACGAAATGCTACTTGTCAGAGTGGATGTGACGAAAATGTACACGTGTATTGATACCATTGTCACAAAAAGTTAACGTCAATATATTATATCGCAAAATAAACAACAGATTACAATTTAAATTATGTTTTAGGCTTTTATTTTTATTTCACCAATTTGGTAAACTATATGAATACTACAATAATAATAATAATATTTTTTTATACTTTAAAAGTCTATTATACTTTTAAAAAATCGATAAGTTGTTAATCGATTTGGGTAATTGAATAATACAGTTACATAACAATGTTACATAACAATAACTAAATAATATAGACTTTTTGTATATACTATTTTTTATTACCACGTCACTAAAAACTTCAAATCCCAAGCGCGACCTAATGAAAATATATAAAGACGAAGACATGCCCCATCTCTCGCCATCTCAATTAGAAAATGAAGAAACGTACGAATGCATCTATAAGTTTATAATTTCAACTTTTGATATGATATAAAAACTTAATGCTGAATAGATGTTTCCAAAGCCGTTAAACAATAATTTAAAAAAAAAGTCACCGTACTCGCGCTATGTAAAAAAGAGTATAGATGTTATAATGACTGACTATGGTGTCGTCGTCGGCGAAGTGCAGCCACAGTGCGGAGCGGTCGTCGTCAGCGGAGGCGCGTAACGCGTGCAGCGGGCGGCGGTAGAGGGCGCGCGCACCGCCCCGCCCCAGCGACCCGGCCGCCTCCCACACGCACGCGCCGCCCGCGCCCAGCGATAGACGCGCGCACACGCCGCGGAACCTACAACCTGCGATCAAATAATAGTTATTTTTAACACCTTTGCTCGTAAAGCTGATGTAATTCCACCGATTTTAAATATGTAAAGCGGGTCATAAAAAACGCGTGTGTTACCAAAGCAAATAGTTAAGTTATAGTCCATACAAATTCCATAACAGTATTATTTGCCATTTCGCGCGCTGTTGCTATTCAAATTTCGAACTAATCGCCGCGCGGCGCCTGTCAGTAGGCAGCGCTAGTGCGTTGTTAAAATGGCGAGAAAGCGACAGTGTACATTCACAGATTAAGTTTATTTTATGTTTTTTTTTTATTTCCTCGCAAATGTGTTAAAAAACGTCGTACTATATACGTGCGTATTGGTTATAACATGCTCGGCTCAATTACGCCCTTGCCTTCGGCTCGGGCTGAAATTCCGCCTCGCATGTTATTACCATCATAACGCACTAATATCGTAATGTACTATTAAGATACGAGTGCGGAAAGTAAGGTTTTACGTAAGTCGAGGGTTTTCATTGGCACGAATTCGAAAAACCTTTTACGCTCAAGTCAAGGAAATAAAATAAATATATAGGTTAATAAAACTAAGTATGTATTAAAGGTAAAAATTATTTGTTAAAATTAAACGTGATATTTGAACATGTTTTCGTGTCATACATTTTTATTTGAAAATATTCGTTCTAGGCTCCTTAAAATACTTTTGCCTCTAAAGTTTGACTTATTTTCATCAATTCTTTTTAAATATCTTTGGTGCTCGGCCAAAAAAATTAAAAAGATACTTTTAAGCACGTGTGCAGTAAAGGATTTCAGTACATTTTTATTTAACACGTGTTTAAAGACTCACTTTCGGTGCTTACAATGGATTAAAAAAAACCACATTATAAGTAACTGCATTGAAAAAATATCTTTATTCGAGTAGCCTTATTACTAGCACTTTTGAATTGTCCAAAAAAAATTTTTTCCCTACCACTTGTTCAAGACGTCTTTTAGCTGACAAGAAGAACAAGCGAAAGAAACTTACCTTTATCATAAATAATGACATTTACATTAAACATGTCATTACCAAAATAATATGATGTAATAATGTGTTTGTAGGTCATTGGTTGTACATGTAAGTAGTCGTTATAGAATAAAGCGAAGGCTATTAATTCCACGCATTGCGATCCTAAAAATAATCATGAACTTTATTCATAAGTCTGTTCTTTATATAAATTTTAAATTTATTTTTGGGTACGTCATACCACCTATTCCTAATAAGCTGGAACATTGTCTATAACTAGGTGTAACAGAAATAACGACACCCCCGTTAGAAAATGCATTTATCATCATAAAACGAAAATTGGAATTTAAATTTTATATGCTAAAACATAAGGGAAAAGTTATACTAATTTCTGGGTAACAATGTGGAAATCTTACAAATCCACACAATGACGTCAAAATAATTACCTATATTAATTACAAGTTGTTGAAATGGAATCAGTATCTGATTTTAAACAACTTTCAAGATGTGCGTTAATTACGTTACACGTTATATTTTATATATTCCCAAAATATTAATAAAATAATGTAATAACTTTTACTTTCTTAAAAAATTTATGCAATAATAATTTTTGGAAAATAATTTATATGTTAATATTGAAGAATATGGAAAATAAAAAAAAATACATTTTTTTTTTATAACGCGAAAACAAACAGAAAGGAAATTTTTTGAAACAAAGCAAAACGTAATAAAGAAATAGAGACATGAGACATATTTATTTTTAGTGAAAATATAACATGTTTATTTCACTACAGAAAATGTCAAAATTAGAATTTGATGCTTGATTTTATCAAGATATAATCGATTTGAATAGATTTTTCAAAACTAATTCACGCCCCTATCGTCAGTGTTTAATTTAAATGTCATTATGTGCTGTCATTTTAACAATAACTCACAGTTTAAAAACTATAATTATTAAAATGAAAAAAATATTTAAAAATCGTAAGTGATTAATATAATACAATGTTTTTTATATTGTTTTCATGACAATTTCATCTGAAAGTGCGGATTTATCTGCACGAAAATTTATAAATTTTGAGTTGTTGTTCATAAATATTCTGTATACATATCACATTTTGTAAACAGCGACATAGTTGTTAGTCTTTTCATATAGTATGAGTACGGTGATTTGAAATTTTAAGTAAAGTGGTAATAAAAAATATATATATTTAAAAACTCGATGCTATCGAGTTCATTTCTAAAAGATAATCGATTTTGAGGTCAATATATAAGACAGGATTCGAGAAAAATATTTATTCATTAATATGTTGAATCTAAGTCAGAAAAATACACAATTTCAGTAAGGTTTAATTGTTACAACAACAATAGTTTAAAAATTGACAAATGACTCCGTACTCTCCCCTATTAATTATTCTCTATTAGAAAAAAGTTTTTATTGATATTTCAAATTTAAGAGGGCTAGATTTCAGTAATTATGGCTATTAAAAAAATATTTGTGTTTTAATACGCAAATTTACATAAATATTTTAATATATATACATACAATTTATTTTTTAACGATTGTTTCTAATTATTTGAAATACAAATATCGTGTATTGGATTTGTTAACAAATATCACCGTACTCATGTTATGTGAAACAGACTTATAGTTATCAGTACTCACGGAAGGTGAACTCTGGTTGCGCACGCACGGCGTGATGGGCGCCGTCTACAAGCGCGCCCGCAACGGCGGCGAGGTCGTGGGGCGTGTCCGCCCGCAGCGCGCGCACGCACAGCCCCGCTGGCGTGCCCGCACGCACGCCCAGCGCCGCCGCCCCACCGCCACCACCACCACCACCCCCACCCCCGCCACTACCCCCACCAACGCCGTTACCTAACATTATCTATACATTAATATTCAGAATGGCAAGCAGATATTTTCTTATCTTAACGCCGACAACATTTGTGAAATATTGTCAGCTGTATGGCAATGTTTTGCATGTGCTTTGCCTCGTTCTATTATTAGCTCGACGAAATAGCTGCGTCCTCGTCGGTACGGTTACAGTCAACTGCGAAAAAAGAAGTCGTTACACAGACGCACATATTTCGCATTCACAGTTGCCACCCAACCCGGTTTCTGATGACTATTCGTTGTCATTATTCGTATAGTTTCGCAATGCGTCCGGAATATTAATAGCGTATCAATACATCAAAATTCAGAAATATTGTGAGTAGCTCGGTGGCGTAGTGGATAAGCGCGACCGTGGCGATCGTAGTTGTTACGCAACTTTCGCTAGGGTCGGGCCTATTCGAGCTACTCCGCCTTTCGAAAGGCATGTGAAGCTGTTGGTCCCAGCAGTAAGGTCAGTTGCAATTGTTTATACCCTCCAATCCGCATCGGGCGAGCAAGGAAGGTCATAGCCCACCCTCCTTAACTGAAAATGACTGAAAAAAAAATAAGAAAGTCCTGAGCCCCTACAGTCGGGACGTCCCCATCTTATAAGGGCTGATGATAATCAAGATAACATTCAAAATGGCAAGCAGCTATTTTCTTTTCGTAAAGAAATGCTTTATACTCTTTCACTGCTGCTTGACAGGTGGCAAGGGGTGTGTTGGACTCTCCATCTGCAGGGGCCCACCCAAAGGCTAGTCAAAAGACGAATGACATACATACTAAATGCCCTCCGTGCACCCAAAAGTTACAAACAGCTGATCACGATACTAAATAAAGAGCGCGTACATGTACGACCTTTAACATAAAGCCCTCGTTACATGTTTCTTAGATATTTATTAATACAATAAAGTCAATCTGTTGCCAAACTAGATCTAAGTTTGTATGTCGGCGTACATCGCCATAACGCCAAGAACAATATTATTTAAGATAACAAGCAGCAGACATTCGACTAATTTAATTACTAGAGTAATATATAAATTAAGAAACAATGTCTTCACTAGCCTAAATAGTCACTTGAGAGACAAATCCAATCTAATAAATAAAGCACTTAACAACTATACATTAAATAAACCTGTATTAAATACAATATCGATAGATGTATTAAGTTATACTTATGCAGAAAAAAATCACTAAAATAAATTATTTTACATAAATGCCAAAAACTGTGGGTGTTTCTTTTTTAAGCAAAAACCGCGTCATTCTTCTTTAAAACTTATAAAACCAGTGTTGAACGAGCTCGTCATGTATAACATAGACCATATAACATAGTAGTTCTTCACTGGTGGTACGCGGACAACTGGTGGTCATTGGAAGAATCCTAAAGGGTCCATGAAGCAAAGGTTTTATTTATACACGCATTATACTTTAATTATCATCACTTAAGTAGGGCATTTTGTACTGCATATAATTCAAGTGGGTGATCCATTACAATTTAGAAGTCAAATGGTTCCTAAAAAAATAATACTGGGCTAGACTGTGTGAGTAGACAGTTTCTCGAATTGAGACCATGGCCTCAAACAGATGGTCGCTGGTGACTGAGTGAAGACAGCGGGAGATTATATTTTGTAGATCATTTTGAGGGATGCCTACGTCCAGCAGTGGACTGGAACAGGCTGATATGATGATGACATAACGTACCTGTGTTAGCAGCCCCACGCCTCCACCACGCTAATCGCGTCGCTGCAAGACTAAAACTCTCTGTGGGCGCGCACCATGCTTCAGCTGACCACGGTGCAGCTTCATATAACCTATAAATAACAAAAACTATTTAAGCATTTCAAATGTTTAATTTTTATATGATAAAAATGTTGGACTCTAAAATATTTTTAATTTTTTTTTTTTTTTGTTTTGCGTAAAGTAACAAATTACCTGAGTTCGCGGTCTGTGATAGCCACGAAAGTTGGTTGCCACCCCTCCGCCTCGTCCGAGCTGTCTGAACCACCAGATGCACTTACCTGTAGAATATTATAATTTAGATAAAATCATACAAATTATACCTTTTACAGTACAAGTATGAACAAAAGTCAGCACTCGGAGTAAAATGGATCATTTCACTTGTAAGCAATAATAATAAAAAGTATATATTTTATTTTGTCACTGTAGTAACAAAGTTCTTAAACTTATTTTAACACTGAGTCTCTTTATACTAATAAAATTATAGAAAAGGAAATTATAACTATGGTGAAATAATGGTAGTAGAAAGTATGGTAAAATGGTATGAGTGGATACGCGCGATTGGTGTGGCGATCGGAAAAACACTAACTTTTACTTCAATATTAGAGACATTGCGAAACATAATTTAAAATAATTATGAATTAAGTAGCAAGCGAATATTGCTGACGCGCGTTACCTACTTATTACAGTTCAATGTGCGGTCGGGACCGTACAGATATTAAGTAAACAGGACTTTACCAATTGTAGTCCCACCATTTTAATGAGGACAATCAGTGAAAATAAAACAAACTATTGTCTTTCCCCTGCGATAAGCACGTGGTATGTCTTCGCGTCAGAAAATCTTGCGTAATCAAAATCTATATTCATCATGCGAACTTCCCCTTTCTTTAAGTGCTTACTTTTATAAAACTAACATATATTTTCGAGTTGCACTTACTTGGTCTTGTGGAGGCCTGCGCGCAAGCCATCCAGCATAGCGTACGTCACCCAAAAGGGAACGCAGGCGCGGACGAGCACGCGCTAGCGCAGCGCGGGCGGCGCGCCGGGCGGCAGCGTGTAATGCGCGGTGCCAGCCTGCTGCCGCCGCTGCCGACCCTGCTCGCAATGCCAATGCGTGGACTCCGTCCGGCGAGTACACTTCAATCGTGCGATCCTCTGCCAAAAAAATATTTTGAATTTATTTGTTCAATATTTAAGTGTAGTGTTGTGTAATATAATTTGAATATAGCGGCATTAAGACGTTTTATTTTAAACCTAAACACAGTGAAAATATGGACCAATATTGATTGAGGTTTTTTTTATTTTATGGTTATATGATTGATTGCTGTGTATACTACCAGTTTATATGTAATACTTATTTAAGATTGCAATTATACTACGCTGGATATTATTACTATCGCTATCGGTTTTCAATAAACACAATTTTTAAGTACCAAGAAAAATAAACACGAGATATTAAAAGAAGATATAATCTGCAACCTAATTATTTCAAATAATAATATACTTTATTGTACACAACAAAAGTATACAAAAAGCGGCCTTATTATGCTAAGCAGCAATCTCTTCCAGCAAACATATGACTCTCTAAAACTTAACTATATCGTCAAAAGAACTTAGGGAGCAAGATTTCCTGACATCCTCCGGAAATGAGTTCCCTAACTCATAGCATGCACAAAAAAGGTGCAAGTTTCACTTATCCCTTATACTTATTATTAATCGGTAGATGAATGTTCAAAGTGAGATTAGAAGAGGATCGCAAGGTACACTGAGATGAAGAAGAGCGGAAAACGAAACATTGTTTGAAATAAGGTGGAGAAGGGGGAAGGAAAATAATAGAATTTGTTTACCTGGGTCATGATGACGTAAATTTTTAGCAACACACGCCATTAGCAAAGGTACATAACGTGTATCAACACGACGACGGTGAGGGGAGGGCGGTGAAGGTGGCGATTCAGCCATATAGCCACGCTGTAATTCCCAGCCAACTTCGCTAATAATCGATGCTTTGCGAAAGTATGGTGTTACTTCACGTAAATATTTCACTGAAAGTATTTCGTATTATTATAATTCATTCGTTAATTTTAATAAAATGTTATTGGTAGTGAAAAATAGAGCACAAAATTCAATAAAAATGCCAAAGACAAAAAAAATGCTGCCTTTCAATTTGTAGCTTTTTAATTTGTAGCAAATAAATACTTATATTTAATAATAGATTGATTAGATTTCAGTTTTAAGCCTAATTAAAGCGTTTATTTTTTTCATTGCCCGCCATTTTTTACATTTATGGACGTTGCCGTACTTCTTATCAATCATGTGAATATAATTAAGCGATATATACGCCATCTACATCCAGAATAAATGCGACATTTGTTTATTTCGATACGAACAGGCATTTAAGTAATCACACGTAAGACGGTAATTTGTCTTAACTCTTTGTTTATGTTAATTACTAGCTTTTCGCCAGCGGCTTCGCCCACATGGTCTTGTACTATGAATATTTTGTCCATTTTACCTACACATTCCATTTTTAACTGTAATCAAGAATTAAGATAGGTACCTATTTTCATACATAATGAGAAAATTCCAAATAAATAATAATTATTTTACATTATAATTATGCACTTGTGAGCTTAAGACAGTAGCTAAACATACGGAACCTTATTTTTCGGATATACTTACATTTTTTATGGAAATAGGCTAATTGTTAATTATTATCCCTTTTTAATGTTGTCAATAATATGGTTTAAAAGCCAGCGGTAAATACATATCACTAAAACATTATTGGGGAAAAAGTAATTTTTCGCATATAGTATGGATAAACTTCTAATAAAATCATTCTGGTAATACCATACAAATGGTATAACCAGAATGATTTTATTAGAAGTTTATCCATACTATATGCGAAAAATTGATAGTAAGCCTGTAAACCAGCAGAGATACAAATCTCTGGCTGGTTTCGGTATAATTATAAAGTTGCAATTTTAAAGAACATAACTCCGAATTCAAATTATGAAAATGTGTGATTTTCATTTGTTTTTTTTACTATCAAAATGACTGAATATAATAAAGAAATTCGACATATTTTAAAATTATATAACAAAACAGATAAAATTATATAACGAGACAGAACAGACTCAAGCCACGAAAAAATTTTTGGCGTTTATAGACCTAGTGCAGTTTCTGTCAGAGTAGCACAAATTTAGTTCAAGCGTTTTCAGTCCGGAAAATTTTATGTCTAAGATGCACGTCGCTCCGGTCGCCCCGTTACGGATAAAATGGATACCATTTTTGAGAAAGTGGCCCAAGATCGGCATATCGATAGTTACGACATAGCTGAAGAACTGGGGATTGATCACAAAACAATCTTGGCGCATAAGAAAAAAACTGAGTACACAAAAAAGTTGGATATATATATAAAAGTGGGGTACCTCAAGCTCACTGAAAACCTAATGAACCGTGTACTCATTTGTGATTCTTTATTACGGCGTAATCAAACCGAACCATTTTTGAAGAAGCTAATAACTGGCGATGAGAAGTGGATCACGTACGACAAGAACGTGCGAATAAAATCGTGGTCAAAGGTCGGTCAGGCTTCACAGACTGCAGCGAATCCCGGGTTTAATATAATTTTTCAAAGAATTTTTTGACATTTTAGATAAAATGGGAATAAACTTTTTCACCAAACTATACTATATTAATTACCTATTCAAGTACTATTATGAGTCTACATAAAACTAAGACTGGTTTAAATTAAAACTTAATTTAATGTTAAATGATATTAAAACTATACTTCGTTAAAATCACTTCCTTTATTTACTGGTTAACGGCTAGTACAATGTCTGGTTTAATACTGGTAAACGCTTAGGCACATTGGGACTTGGAACATTTATTATAAAAATAACTGAATTAGCTACCAAATAAAGTGGATATGCTACATCATTATAAGTAAAGTTAAGAAGCAGTACAATGCATTTTGCAATAATCGAGTCACATCAACAAAATTATTTTTTAAATACTACTTAATAAATTTACTACTTGTTGAGTGCGTGAGTCCTACTTCTTGAAGAATAGATACCCTATTAGGTATATTTAATAATTCACACATCATAACAGTCCAGCCTCTAGAATACCACAAATTAACCTCCTAGTTGACACCACTTAACCTTTGAAAGACTAAAGATTCTAATAGGTTGGAAACAAGCCCTTCCATATTCTATAAGTCTAAACAGCTACTACAAATTTTTAACTTATTTGGATATATTATACATCATTATACTTTGAGTAAAAAACTGCTAGGCAATGTTCCAATAAAATATTTGTTTATATATAAAAAAATAATTAAATAGATAAATTCTTTATTGAACTACTTATAAACATATGTATAAAACTAGAACTAGCATTCCACCAGTGACTTTACCAGTGTTATACATTTAACTCTTCCTCAAAAATTGCTCTGCATATTGATGTGTTATCAAAAAGATTGAGATCTTTTTATTACTTACTTTACTTATACCTTTAGCAAGTTCTTTCTATACTATGTATAGATTAGACTATTGTCTCTAGTTATTGCTACTATAACAACTGTTTGTATCATCAAGTAATATAAATTTTTTGACAATATTAGTGGATTATTGATTATTTCTATCCCAATAAATAATTTGAAGACCAATTAGGATCTGTTTTATTTTTTTATTTTTTTTTCTATTAAAGTTAATTGAATAGATCAAAATCTTCTTTGAAGAATTAAAAACAATAAGTTAAAGAAGATAATCTGTTAAATCAATTGCACTTTATTTTATAATATACAAATGAATGGCTACCTAACTGTTTAATTTCAGAATACATCACAATCCCTTTCAAAGGTATATCGATTGTGATAGCGATTTATGGAATGTTTAAAATCACAATCACTTTTTGGAATGAAAATTAGATAAGGCCCCTGATCTAGCTAGTGTTTATGTCACTTAAGGTAAAAATTTAATACCTTTAGAATGCAACAAAATTTATAATATTTTTAATACATTATTTATTATTGCTGTTACATTGAACTCTTGAAATATTAATGGCAATATAAACTTTTTTATAATTTTGCTTACCTTCTAACTGCACCATTTTACCAGCTCTTTTTAAAGCTTTCACAGCTTCTTCATGTGTTGCATCCTTTAAATCTTCCCCATTAACTGACAATATTGCATCGCCAACATATAGCTGTTCTGTTAGATCAGCTGCCATTCCTTTGAATATTTTAGATATTAATATTGGCATATTATTTTCTATTCCCCCTTTAATAGAAATACCCAAACCATTATTGTCAGACTTCACTACTTGCACTAAACGTTTTTGGTTTGCAATTGCTTCGGGCACTTCTGTGAAATCACTATTAGGAGTCTCTACATTGTTATTATTGATAGATCCATTTAATGTTGTTGTTGCGTCATATCCATCATCCAGACATACACTAAAATAATCCTCTTCTAAAGAGCAATGTACTCTATACCAGACGCCTCGCACCAGAGTTTCCAGAAGACCTGAACGCACACAAGTTGCGTTTGGGCTATCGCTTCCCCCACTAGATGCGCCGTTTTCCACCATAATTTTATAAATATTTTTAATCACCACACGATAAAAGTCCAAAAATTATGATAAATAAACAGCTTTGCAGTCATTTATATATCAGCTATGAATCGTTGTTTTCATCTCATGGCAATTATAATTTTATGTTTTTATCTAAGCACGAATAACCTCTGTAAAAAAAGATGATAAAAATGGAACAGAGACAGAGATATTAGCGCACAAGCCACACGAACAATCAATAAATAAATTTGACAGTAGTTCATTCATCGTTGTTTGACAAAGTTAACAAAGGAATCTAGCTTAGAAAGCCTATTATGTGATAAATATTGTTTGGTCATAGAGAACTTTACTAGTATAAGAAACACGTTCTCCTTGTAGTTTGTAACAGGCAACATAGTTGTAATGTCTCAGTATGGTCCCAGTCTTTGATCAACAATACAACTAGATAACGTCTCCCATACTAAAACAAAACTCAAATACAGCACCAAACTATACTGGGTGTTAGGGGAACGCTTCCGAAAACGAAAACCAGTGATAGAGTAAGTGATTCTGGATACATTGCAAAGAAAAAATTATTACTTTATTTTTCAAAAAAAATATGTTATTTTTATTTTTTTTTCACTTTTAGCGATGTAAAATAAGTTAAGTATTACTATTTTTATAAATAAATTTGTCTATTTATTGATTTTCCATAAAAACGCAATGTAATTAAAACTCGAAAAAATCAGCTGATCGGCGGTAGACGACCCCGAGAGTTCAATAACCTTTGGTACGTTCAAAGGGCACTTTCATTCTCTTTCCTTCACCACTGGTAGAATGAAAAGAGACAGAAGATACGAGTGAGAAACTTCAGCGACATCTAGCGACGAAAAGCTCTTAGTTCTCTACGTTGCTAGTTTAGGTACCCATTTTCCTGTGTTTTATTAAGAAAATGCAATGAAAACGCAATTACTAAAAGTAGCTTTAAAACGGCGTTTTGTTATTTTTTCAAATTGTTATTTATTGATGATCATTCCCTTTCACGCAATAACAATAAGTAAAAACGAGAGCGAAGATACTGCAGGCCAAGCTCGTAAACTTCTAGATACATCTAGCGGCAAATCGCGGCGGTTCTGATGATATAGCGAATGAGAATGATAGATGCAGCGCCATCTAGTAGTGTAAAGCAAAATCAATCGGTAGTGTTTCCGTGTTAAGGGGTGCCACTTTTTAATGAGTAAATATCGTTTTTGAATAACCTACTAGATAAAATGCATGTTCTTCTGGAAAACATTTGTTTCGACTAAACATTTCAAAACGGTTTAGTAACTCTAGTATTTACAAAATTTTTATCTTTGTAAATTTTTAAAAATAAAACTTACATTACATGATTTTGATAAGTGCACTTTTTTATTTACTTGTCTTTAAAATGTGAGCTTTATTTTAATGAGTTTTTTTTACGTTAGCGCAGAAAAGTTTAAGACAAAAATCATTTGATTTTATTCAGAGCATGTAACTAATAACGATATCTTTTAACTCGCAAAGTAATTTATTTAGGTTTTATAAAACACAAAAAGATCAGATAAATACATTTCATTAAAATGAGGGGAAGGTGTTAAATCATTTTTATTTCATCAAAATCTAAATGTATAAGAAACTTCATTTCTCCAGAAGTGTGTGTGTGTGTGTGTGTATGTGAAATCATTAAAAAAGTAAACTTTATGAAAAACTATTGGGAGTCCCAATTGAATTTTTTCCCGATTCAATTTTAGCATAATTATTTCTCTTGTTTCAATTTGAAAACTATAAAAAAGCGGAATAGTTGTTTCTCTTAATAAATACTTACTTTGCATGTCTAACCCAATAGTATAATCCTATCGGGTTATTCATGATTAAACGCGATGTTGAATTGTAAAACTTCACTTAGTACTTTTACGACAAACTTTATTTATAAATCTAAACACAATTAATTACTATTAAAGTTGCTAAGTGAAATGAGTGGCAGCCCTAGATATCATTGCGAACCGCAGTGACCGGTGAGTGTGTTTATAAAAGATGCCGCTTCACTTTTCCGGTCTGTCCGCTTCCGGTTTCTGAGACATGATGCCGCTACACGTGCTGCCAGCTCTAATTTTTTCCCTTAATTGGGTAATTTTTTTACGGGATAAATCCCATAAAAATTGTATGATATTAAAGAAAGGTAAGCTATCTTTCAAATATCTATCTATCTTTTTAATATTTTTGATTACATGGTATTATTAAATATTTTTTTTTAATTGAAGTTGATGTTATTGAAATAACATTAATCACTTTTAAAAATTTATTCGTATAACAATAAGTTAAGAGCGTCGCAAATAAGGTTGGTTAAGTTACGTTAGCCAATGTTCCTGCCAATCGGTTAACAAAAACGGTACCCGGATAATAATTTCTCTGTCTTACTTTTACCTCCGTAGCCGAGTGGTTCACACGCCGGTTTCAAGGTGTCGCCATCTCTGAGGTCCCGGGTTCGATTCCCGGTCGGGTCAATGTAGAAAATGAACTTTTCTATATTGACTCGAGTCTGGGTGTTGTGATACCTTCGTTGTATCAGATACTCCATAGTACGGGGGCTTTAGCTACTCATCTTGGAATCTGAGCAATGTATGTGATGTTGTTAAATATTTATTTATTTATTTATTAGGATACGGTGAAAACAATTATTAATGATTCACAACATTCTTTCAAACATTTTACTTATTTTGTCATAAAAATAATTTAGTATAGCGTACACTTTCAGACAATTTTCATTTGGTTTATTTCGGTATTATTAAAAATTACTTACGATATCAGTTCTTGTAATAATTCACAATGTTAAAACATAAAGGGTTTAGCCGGATACGTATGACGAGTCGGCCCCCAAATGGGAATCGATATTGAAACTTATGTTTTAATATAGACTTGATGTTCAAACACGATATATGTACTTTTCGCGACCGACTTCCGCTTTGACCTTGAGATAGAGAGCAAAATATCCGTATGCTTGACTATTGCTGAATGTGATTTATCTCTGAAGCTAATTAAGATAAAGAAGTGAAACTAACGCGAGGTGTTAGGTTACATTACAGAGTATATCACATAATTTTTTTTATAATTTTTAGAATAAAAAATTATATTAAAAAAATAAAAATAAAAAAAAGCATGTTTTTTTTCTGAGTTCTCTGTGACTTACAATCACGAAATTAATATATGTTATGCTCCTTTGTGTGCTCTATCACCCATAAAAATTGCGTGAAAAAAAAGTTGGTGCAACACAACGAAAAAAAATTATATGTGATTTCTGTCTTATGGTATACCCCTATATTATAAGGTTTTCACATTACATCATTGTTTTTTTTTCGAAATTTCACATCAGCTTGTTTTAAAACATAAGTAACTAGTCTTAAGAGATGGGATAATAGCTTTGCGTATTCTCGGAAGTAGTTCTATAAATTGCTGACCGTTATCATGATTGTTCACAGAACATGAATTGCAGACTGTTTTAGTGCTGAGAAAATATTTGTATGGTTGCCTATTGATTAATCGGCTGTTTTCTTCTTGCTAACCAAATTTTTAAATAAAATGCCAATTGTTACTTCTTTAATAATGTTACTGTTATGCCAATTGTTACTTATTCATCACCAACTTTGTTTTCTTTATTTTCTCTTGTTTATTCATCAAAGTTTACAGTATTTTTATGTTCTTTTACCAATAATATAATACAAAGATTATGTAGGTGTTTTAAGTTTTCTATATTTACTACTAAACAAGATGTTCTGAACTAAAATTGTGACACAGTACGCACGGTATCTCACTTAATGAAGAGGAAGCGAAATTTATTCAGTCAAAACAATTTATTGAATAAATTTATAGACAAGTTGGCTTACTAGTTACAAGCATATAAGAAAGTAGAAACTCTGTGCTTATAGTTCAGCAATCTATTACGGGAAACCTTGTACCGAGAAAAGAAGAAACTGTAAGAAAGGAACCGGTAAGAAACTGCAAAGGCTGCTTTTGCACCCTGTTTAATTTCGTACTGAAAAATAAAAAATGACTTCATTGGACCAAAATGTCACTTTCCACCAAAACAATAAAACATATACAACGTGTCCCAAAATTCAACGATAAGCGGGCGCCAAGAGGTACCCTTGCTCATGTGTACTTATGGAAAAATAAGAAAAAAATTATATCTTATCTTTTTTATTATAAAATTAAATTCGAAAATTTACACCTTTTATGATATTTTCAACTACCACGACCACAACTTCTCAATTATGTTCAATCTTTTTTTTGGTATCGGATACCTAAGTAGCACTACTATTCGCTACAACTCTTTCGAAAATTTTCGAATTTTATTTTATAATAAAAAAGATTAATAAGATATATTTTTTTTCTTATTTTTCCATAAGTACACATTAGCAGGTCACACATTATAAATAATTGATAAATTCACGCCACTTTAAAAAAAATATTATTTTCTTGATACTGGCGTGAATTTTTCAATTTAATTAATAATAATCATAAATAGGATTGGTACGTAAGTGTGAAATGAATAGAAGTGTAATAGGTAATAGTTTAGCCATGCCCCTAACAATGAAAATTATATTATATTATTTAATAAGTAGTAGTATTGTAGCAGTTTCACGAAATACTAACTTTTATTTAATATGACTTCAATGTCGATACAAATATCGATATCTTGGGTCACGCCCTATGACAATCCGCCATCGAAGAATTTGCATTTGAAGTTTAGGCATATACGCTTTTTTCGTAGGTATGGCCGGTCCTCTTCTTTTATGTTTATCGCGGCTTCTTTGATATGAGCGAGGCATGAGGCCGACCAGTGGCAAAAAACTTTCCATCTCGGTTTGCGAATGCGTATTTTAAAGTTTATTTCGTTAAATTAGTTATCATAGTTTTTAGTTGAGCGTGTTAGGTTTATTTATTTAGTGTTAATTTTAAGTTTTATTAGACAATAAGTGCATCTCATCATGCCTAATGCGTATGTGTACAGTGCTCGTGAG